ATCACACCGTGTCTTGGGAACCCGTTGCTGTATTTCTTGTAAATTTCAACACCAAAGGCTTGTCAGTCTTGTCCACCTTGTAGGTCACCGGATCTGCAGGTGCAGCTGCTTTCACTCTACTCCAATGGATCCAAGACTTTCCTTCCAAGGTTTTCACTGCCAAAGGAAAACACATGACAACAGTATATGGTCCTTTCCATCTTTGGCTCAAGGGATCTGATTTCCAGTGCTTTACCCACACTCTATCTCCTGGCTTGAACCCATGTGTTGCTGTAACCACTGGAGGGGGTTGTTGTTCCATCATATAATGGCGCAATTTTGAAAGGGCCAAATTATGAAGCTGTAACTGATGTAACGATTTCTGTTGATCTACTCCCCCCTTATGTGCCAAGTCAGGCCAGCCTTGACTGTCAGGTTTAAACAGGCAAGGAGGACGGCCAAACATGAGCTCATAAGGACTAAGTTGTAATTTAGTGCGGGGGGCCAGTCTGATTGCATACAAAACCATAGGCAAAACATCTGGCCAGTGTAGATGAGTTTCCAAACAAAATTTGGTAATAAGTGTTTTAATTGTTCTATGGGATCTTTCCACTCTAGAAGCCGATTGAGGGCGGAAAGCACAATGAAATCTCCACTTAATTCCTAATGCTTGGGCTAAAGCCCGATTGATTTGGTGCACAAATTCAGGGCCATTATCTGATGAAATCCTAGAAGGGCAACCAAATCTAGGAATAATTTCTTTAAGAAATATTCTGGCAACCTGTACAGCTTTCTTATTTACAGTTGGAAATGCTTCAATCCATCCTGAATAGGTATCAATTATTACTAACAATGCTACATATTTCTTACTTCTAGGCATGTCAGTAAAATCAACAACAACATAGTCCATAGGAAAATAAGCGATTGGTTGTCTGCCAGGTGGTATTACTGGTCCTTGGCGTGCATTGGTTTGGGCACAAATGGTACATTGAGAACAAACATCTGCTATTAGCGAAGAAGCAAATGGAATATAAAAAAATCGTTCAAGTTGCTGTAATAATGCAGTTTTTCCCAAATGATGTTGCTTGTGTGCCTGAAAAATAAGTGGGCGAGCAAGTGCCAAAGGAACAGCAATGCGTCCATCAGGTAAAGTGTACCATCCTTTAACTAGTTTGGCTTGTACATCTTGTTGTAATTTTTGAGTTTCCTCCCTCGTATATGTAGGATCAAGTTGTTCTAAGTAAGTGTCTAGATACATGAACCTTGTGACATCTGATTGGAGAGGGGGACCTTCTAATGCAGCCCTTTTTGCTTCTTTGTCTGCCTTCCTATTGTCCTGGGTAATAAGGCTTGAGTCTTTTTGATGTCCAGGACAATGGATGATTGCAACTTTGGATGGCAATTGTGCTGCCTTGATAAGTCTTTTAATCAAAGTTGCATATTGGATAACTTTGCCTGTGGAATCCAAATATCCTCTCTCTTTGTAGATAGCCGCATGTGCGTGTATTGTCAAAAATGTGTATTTACTATCTGTATATACATTTAAAGTCCTTCCCGCTGCTACTTCTAATGCACGGGTCAAGGCATATAATTCTGCAAACTGTGAACTGGCTTGACTAGGCAACTGTGCTGACTCAACAGTAGAAGTTTGAGAAACTATTGCGTAACCAGAGTATCTACATCCTTTATCCATAAAGCTAGAACCATCAGTAAACCATTGATAGTCTGGATTATGCAAGGGTTGGTCTGTAAGGTCAGGTCTGCAAGAATATTGTAGTTCTATTGTTTGCATGCAATCATGAACAGGTTTGGTTGAATCAGGAATTGGCATTAGAGTTGCTGGGTTTAAAGTTGAACATTGTTGCAGTGTAACTTGTGGATTTTCTAATAAAAGAGCCTGTATTTTATGCATTCGTTGATTACTTATCCATAAATGTCCTTTATTGTCAATGATTGTCTGCAAGGCATGACTAGTATAAACAGTCACTGGAGCTGAAAAGGTTAACTTGTTTGCCTCCTGCAGTAATAGCATAACTGCTGCTAGAATTTTTAAACATTGGGGCCAGCCTTGTGAAGAAATGTCCAGGTGTTTTGACAGATAAGCGACAGGGCGGTTCCAACTTCCCTGTTTTTGGATAAGGACCCCTAAAGCTACATTTTGTCTTACATCCACATAAAGTGAAAAAGGCTTAGATATATCAGGTAGTCCTAGGGCGGGGGCTGTGGTGAGAGCCTGTTGCAATTGTCTCATGCTTGGGTTTGTTTCTCTTGCCACAAAAGAGGTTCTTTTTCTGGTCCCCTTAAAGCTTGGTACAATGGTTTAGCTGTGAGAGCGAAGTTAGGAATCCAAATTTTACAGAAGCCTGTAATTCCCAAAAAGGCTCTAACTTCCTGTTTTGTTTGTGGGATGGGAATCTGTAACACAGCTTGCTTTCTCTGGGGGCCCAAAGTTCTTTGTCCTTGTGAAAGTTCATAGCCTAAATACATTACAGTCTCTTGAATTAATTGTGCTTTCTTTTTGGATGCTCTAACAGTCTTGTAACAATTGGAGCAGTCTGGATGTGTTTTCAAAGCAATCCTCCCTGCTTTGGCCAGTTACTAAGACATCATCGACATATTGAAGGCAACAATCCTCTTGTCTGAATAACTTCAGATAAGCAAGATCTTGGGCTAGGGCTTGACTAAAGCACGTTGGCGAATTTTTAAATATAGGGCTACCACAAGGATTTGATTGCTTGCCAATAGATTTATTTAGGACAGATCTGGTGGCTCCCATGTCAACTAGCATCGGGACAACCTGTCCTCCCACCCTTATTTTAACAATGGGCTCTGGGGGTGGGGCAATAGAACCCTGTCCTCTTCAGTCTTCCCATTCCATGTCAGCTAAGCCGATCATGTTTTCTTCTCTTTCCTCTGTCTGATTGGGATAAACTGGATGCCCTCTTCCTTTGAAGCTCTTTCTTAAGCCTCTCTGGAAAGTCCCTCTAAATCCTCTTCCTCTTCCATACTGGCGAGATTGTCCCCTGGCTTGGCCATTCCTCTGGGGGCACTCCCTTTGCCAGTGTCCTTCTTGTTTACAGATGGCACACTGATTGGGTCCTAGGCATGTTCCTCCCAATGCCACGGCTAACATTTCAACTTTCTTTTTTTCTTTTTGATCTGATTTGCGTTCCTCCTCCCTGTCACGGTTACGGAACATATTGTAGCATTGAAATATTAGTGTTATCTGGTCCAGGAACCAACACCTCTCTTAGAGGGGCTATATTTTCTTCTGTTTTTATTTCTAACTTGCTCCTGGTGCGGCTAGAAACTGAGGTTTCACTTTCAAAGTTATTCAAGCTTTTATCTGTTTCTTGAAGGGATCCAGCTGTTGCTAATTTTCCTTCCTCACCGGCTTCTGGCTGAAATTGGGCTTCTCTTTCAGGCAGAGGGGATGGAATTTGCTGATTTATTCTCCCTTCTTCTCTTCTAGGAACGTAGGAGGGTGGTCTGGCAATTTCCTCCCTATCTTCCTGGCTGAAAATCTTAGCTTTTGTTTGAGGCTGGCTTTTTGGCTTGCCAAATATATCTTTGTACATTCTATCTGACATTTTGCTAACCATCTGGGCTCTGTGCACTGTTGATTTTCCATTGGTCAATGTAGGGGTACTGGTCCCAATAACCATTTCCAGTTACAATTTGATGAACCCGTGCAACGAGTTCGGGATTCGCCGATCCCATTTTTGGCCACCCTACGCCCAGGGCAGTCCACTCAGATTCACAGAATCTTTTTAACATAGCTGGATTTGGTTTTGGATCTCCATAATCCCTAGAAAAACCCTTTTTGAAATTCTTTAACATGCACTGGAGTGGCGTCTGGTCAACGCTCTCCTTTGACTTTTTCCCACCCATCTCTCTAATACACTACCATTGATCACTCAGCATGAGCTACAATGGTTTAACCTCCCACACAGCCACAGTGTCCCCATAGTTACATGATTGTGATTTGGGCACTTGGCAACCATTATGCAAACTGCAATGATCACAGCATTCTGTGGTCATGTGATCGCCATTTGCAATCCTTCCAGCCAGCTTCCGATAAGCAAAATCAATGGTGAAATCAACAAGGAAGGTTGCAAATCACAGTTAATAACCATGGTAATTTGCTTAATGGCCGTGGGGGAAAAGTTGTAAAATCAGATGTAATCCCATCATGTCTCACTTAATGTCTATACTGTTTAACAATGAATGATGGGGTCCCTATTGTAGTCCCTGTATGTTCTTAAATAGAGAAAGGAAGCACAGTACTTGACAAAGAATCCATTTTGTATGCAAAACCTGGGCAGCTTGCACGTTAGGCAGCTGTATTAACCTTTTGAGCCACAGGTTCGAATCCCAGAGGGGTATGACTAGCTGATGAGAGCTAAAGAGCTTGAAATAGCTATACTAGTCTCCCATTAACTCTTTGTCAGTCACAAAAATTTTGAATTTAGAGTGTTCACAGTATGTGACGTTCTGCCTATTGTTTTATCAATGAGAATAAAATGCAAAACAGAAAGACATACATCCAACACTAACAACAACAAAAAAGAAAAAATGTGTACAAAAAAAGAAAGAAAATGCGCTAAATATCAAATCAATTTAACATTAAACATAAACATATAGAATTCAGCCTGACTGGATGCTGAGGGGGAAAAAAAGAAAAAATTATAAATTCTTCTCCTCTTTAGATAACAGGTTTATAAATAGTTATAAGTTTTCCCATCCCGGTTTAATAAAAATACTACATTAAATAAACAAATATTCCTGGTAAGGAGATCTCTATCTGATAATCAAATCGGCCCAACATCAGGATTATAGTACTTTTTAAAAAAAAAAAAAAGTCAACACGTTAGCCCAAACATTACACTAATCTTCCAATCCCTCTGTTCACCATCTGTTATTGTATGTGTTAAATACAATAACAGATTTTATTTCACCTTTTTAAAAAACATTGTGATTGTCTGGAAGTGGTTATATTTAATTTTGCTTTTACTTTTCAGACAGATACATTCCTGCACATGTCAAGGCATTGGAGCATAAGAAGACAGTTTTTATTTCATGTGGTGGCGAGCACACTGCAGTTCTCTCAAAGGTTTATATTTACCAATTTTTTAAACTTTTCATCTGATTTGTGTGAAATCTTGTATGATACCTTCCTCTTGGATTCACCTCTAGGAGTCTGTCTCAGAACTAGTGAAACAGGTGCCAGCCCTCATAATGATACTGAAGGCTAGAAAGAGTCTCAGAAACCTCTTGAGATGACCATTGACCCACACACAATGTTCTGAGGCTGTTTCTATCTTTGGAAATATTACATTGGCTAGCTTTCTACAGTAATTGTGTCTCGCATTGGCTGGGCGTATTGTCGCATTGTCAGCAGCTATATAGAAAGATAAGGTGAGTTGACCTACACAGTTGGGTGGGGAGAAGGCCAAAGCCTTCTAGGAGTGGTGGGACAGGGAGAAGGCCTATGCTTTCCAGGAATGGTGGCACAAAAGGAAAGTCTGCACATTGGTGGGCCCACCCAGCAGAGACCTCTTGTAATGCAGTGGCTGCCATGGTGATATGGGCAGGGCACACTGCTCTGAACAAATGATCCTAAGTCGAAAATTACCTGTACTAATACAGTCTTCTCTAGAATTCTAAACCACATTCAGATAAAGGTGCTTTGCATCTAATGTCAAAGAAACACAAATGGGACAATCCAGAAGAGGATCATGATTAATTGAGGCACCCATAAATCCTGTAAAATAAATACATCTTTATTTCCTTGCTTGAATTTCTTCTTTGCCCACATCTATAAATGGGTGGGGTTAGGGTTACAGTTTTTAAAAGTCTTGTTCAATCACAGAATCAACCCTTACAGCAATGCTATGTTTAAGGGCACTGTGAGAAATTAAAAGGGACATCAACCTTTGCTGTTCAGGTCTATGGATACAATTCCAAGGCTTATAGGAGGGCTGTGAAAGGACCTCTAACCGATTCTGTAGATCTCAATAAGCCATGCAAAGTCCAACACAGCTGTACTCCTAGCAGGAGTAAAATAGATGCAGCCTTCAACTTACAACCAAAATTGAGCCAAAAATTTCCACTGCTAGGTGAGACAGTTGTTAAGTGGGGTTTGCCCCATTTTACAACCTTTCCACAGTGGTTAAGTGAATCATTGCAGTTGTTAAATTAGTAAGTGAATCTGGCTTCCCCATTGACTTTGCTTGTCAGAAGGTCGCAAAAGGTGGTTATATGACACTTCAACCATCATATGAACCAGTTGGCAAGCACCTGAATTTTGATCACCTGACCTTGGGGATGCTGCAATGGTAGCAAGTGTGAAAAATGATCATAATTCACTTTTTTAGTGCTATTGTAACTTTGAACAAATGATTGTAAGTTGAGGACTGCATGATTGTACAGACTGCAATAACCCCCTTTTTGATCTAGATTTAAGTTTCCTTGGTGATGTCTGTGTAGTGCAGAATATAGACTACATACTTTCTTTTTTTTCTTTTTTTTTAATTGAAAATTTTTTAAAATTTTTACAAATAGGGGAAAAAAAAAGATAAGAAACAAAAAACAACCCTACCCAACCACCCCAACCCTCCCACTCCATCCCCCCAACCTTCCCAGAGCTGAATATAGGCTTAATTAAAATTTCTAAAAATCTTAAAAAGAAATTAAAAAAGTATAAACCATAAATATATCTAAATACATTACATAAGCTTATAAGATAATTAACAATAATGTATATGTAAAAAAGAAAAGCATAAATATTAAAAAAGAAAAATGCTTAAAAAAAATAAAAGAAAAAAGAAAGAAGAAAAGATATATATAAAACAAAAATAAGAAATATAAGGAAACAGAAGAAGGAAAAAAAATACAAACTATAAAATATTAAAATTTATATATAAGTTATTGAAAAACTAAGTAATATTTTTATATCCAACTTATGTTGTATAAAATCTATCCATTTTTCCCATACCGCAAAAAACTTCTCTTGCGATTGATCCTTTAAAAAAGCCGAAATCTTTGCCATTTCCGCCAAATAAGAAACTTTAAAAAACCATTCTTGCAAGGTAGGCAAAGATTCCTTCTTCCAGTATTGCCCTACTAACAACCTTGCGGCTGTAATTAAATTTAACATCAGTATAACCTCCTTAACATCACAATCAGTAATGATACCCAACAAAAACAATTGTGGGGTAAATTTTACCCTCCTTCTAAAAATTCTTTGAATATTCCACCATATCTTAATCCAAAAAGCTTTTATATTTTTACACGACCACCAAATATGATAATAAGTAGCATACAAACAACCACATCTCCAACATTTAGGCTGTAAGTCAGGATACATACGAGACATTTTTTGTGGATCAAGGTGCCATCTATAAAACATTTTGTAAAAATTCTCCCTTAAATTCTGGGCTTGTGTAAACTTAACATTCCTCACCCAGATGGTTTCCCAGGTATCTAGTAGAACTGGTTCACCAAAATTTTGTGCCCATTTAATCATACATTCTTTAATTAGTTCTGGTTCTGAATCCAGTTCTACTAGCACCCCATAGATTCTCTTAATATGAGTTCGCCTTTGGTCTTTTACTTGTTTAAAAAGATTTTCATCTTCTCTAAGCAAACCCATATTACGATCTATCTTCCATCTATCCACTATTTGTCTATACTGAAACCATGAATATGTAATATTTTCATGTGCTAAATCTTCCAAAGATTTTTAACTGCCAATTTTTACCATCCCATCTGAGTAATTGTGCATAAGAAACACTATCCATCTTAACTCCTCTCCTTATCCCCTCTATCGCATGCCAAGGTATAGCCCATAATGGTATTTTAAAATCACTTTTATAATATTTCCTCCAAACCCGAAGTAAAGAAATCCTTATAATGTGAGATTTAAAAACCCGATCAACTTTTTTATTAAAAATTAGATAGGCATGCCATCCAAAAAGTAAATCCCAACCCTCCAAGTGGAGTATTTCTACATTTGTTAAATTAACCCAGTCACTAAGTAATGTTAAAGCCACAGCATCATAATACAATTTCAAATTTGGTACCTTGAGTCCACCTCTCTCACGAATATCTTGCATAATTTTAAGCTTTACTCTTGGTTTTTTCCCTGCCCAAATAAATTTATTGATACCTTTCTGCCATTCATTTAAGTTAACCTCATTCTTTAAGATAGGTATCATTTGAAAAAAGACTACATACTTTCTATTATGTACTACCACTCCTCCTTCCCTTCACACTGCGTACAACTTTTAATATTCCCAGCCAAGTGACAAAGTCATTGTGTTGAACGGTGCCATGTTTTTCTTCTTTCCCACTAAGGATGGATTAGTCTGCACCTTTGGATCTGGCTGCTACGGGCAGCTTGGCCACAATTCCACCTGCAATGAGCTGTTTCCACGTCTTGTGGCAGAGCTGTTTGGTGCACAAGTGACCCAGGTAGCGTGCGGAAGGTAAGAAATCCCTGTTCCTTTCAAATATTTGATGGTGTCAGAAGGACAACTGGTATCAAGTGAAATCAGAAACAGGTTCCTGCCCTCCAAAGTTGCACATCAGTGGGAAGGGGGCAACAACAAGCAAGAGAAACACATACATTAATATGTGGTACCAATGAAGGAGAATATTTGTAGCTCAGGGTTGACATGAGGGGTCCTTGGTGCTCTCTGCTTGTTTTCTTACAGACGTTTCATTACCTTAACTAGATAACATCATCAATGCTAGTAAGGAGTGCTGTTTGCTGTCAGTTTATATTCTGGTGTCTTGCCTGTCTGTGTGAATTCTTTGGTTGAGCTGTTTATTAATGGCTTTTTGACAGCTTCTTGATTGGGGTATTACATAGATTAACTCCAAGGTCAACTTCAGACCAACAATCAAGAAACTGCCAAAGAGCCATTAGTAAACAGCTCAACAAAAGAATCCCTAAGACCGCCCTCACTCACACAGACAAGCAAGACACCAGAATATAAACTGACAGCAAACAGCACTCCTTACTAGCATTGATGATGTTATCTAGTTAGGGTAATGAAACGTCTGCAAGAAAACAAGCAAGCTCAGAGAGCACCAAGGACCCCACATTAAAGGTGCTAGTGGCTGCCTTTGAAGACCAACTGGAAGCTTCAACTGGTCCAGATTACAGCAGCTGAAGTGACGCTTCAGCTTGTCTAACTGACACCTTTGCTTCATGAATTGTAGTGGTGCCATTATTGTTCTAGGTTCAATTCAAGATGCTGTTTATTACCTAAAAAACCTACATAGCAGAGGCCCTAGGTTACTTGAAGGACTGCCTATCTTCCATACTTTCTGCCCATCCACCATGAACCAACAGAGTCAGTGAGCTCCAGGTCCTTTCAGTGAAACAATGCCATCTAGGGGGAATCCAGGTCATTTCTCTGGAATTAGATTCTTCTTGAGATCGGTGTGGCTCCCATCCTGAAGAAGGCCTTGAAGACCTGGCTGGCCTTCTCCCAGGCCTTGGGGTAGGGTAGATGGAACTCTGTAGGTGAAGGATGTATGGTTTTTTTATATGTGTGCTGTATTGAGTGACTAGATATTATCTTGCCTATATATTTTGAATACTGCAAAATGGAATATATGAAAAATGGAAAGCAAGCTATGTCTCATCACTGGCAAGGCATCTGAGGTTTTTTTAAAAAATAGGTTGGTGATATTCAGTGCTAAAATCTGGCAATAGAGAATTGACTCTTTTATTCAAGATTTTCAAAGAGCTCAACCTGAATATGAATCAGTAAATAAAAATGCAGGGAAGGCAGATCAAAACAATTGCAAAGAGAAATATTATAAAGGCAAATCTAATAACCATTTCAGAATCAAGACATAAAAATTCTGCAAACCAAAAAATGGAACAGGACTCTGTTTGGTCCCCAGATTAAGGGCTGTTGCTAATCAAAAGCTATTGCTTGAGAGTTGTAAAGAAACAACAGAACAAGAACATGTTGTGGTCAATGGTCATAATATCGTCTCAGTTTATAAAGGCCTGATGAGGTGAATAAAACTTCTACCTATGAACTATCTTTGATTCTGCAAACAGATGGCACACTTTGGTTTATGTCCCGGCACTTGGGGAAGTATATGCATTTGGCTATGGAGGAGAAGGGCAACTTGGAGAAGGAAGAATAAGTGACCAGCTGGTTCCCCTTCCTCTTGATCTGGCTGTTTGTAATAAACACATGAAGTACAGTAAGTCACTCAATTTTTCAAGTGGAATGTTGTATGCAAACTACAAGCTAAATCCTAAGGCTGAAAATTATTTTCAGATTAAAATAAAAATCTGGATGCATACAGAGAGATGTGGCTAGCAGAGAAAAATGTGGACCAAGACACAAATAAAGGCTGTGTCAGAGAACAAAATTGGAGTGGGATATTGGCTTGTGGTTATAATTATGTTGTCCTAAATAGACAATCCTGATTTGATAGCATGTGTGTTCTCAAATAAGTATCTGATTATAGCAGCTGATTCTATTTCAGTGTGCTGAGTTGATTCTTAACATGCAGTGATTGATTCTGATGAGATATTGAGAAGTTTCTGTTTGTTGAGTAGCTTGCACTGTAAGTGTCCTTAGTCAAAGCTCTACTAACTGGATTCTAGATAGAAATCTTTCTTAATCTTAAAGGAGTCACTCTTTTTTCTGTCTCTTACTAAAGGAAGTACCTTGGGCAAGGTAGTTAAAATCATTGCTGGAGACAACCAAAGTATTGTGCTTCATCTGGAAGAAAAGGTAATCAAATGGGGAACTTGCCAACAAACATATATAATTTTTAACACAAAATGCCAACATTTGACTTCTAATTTTTGTAAAACAAAATTCATTCCAGAATTGGCCTTGTCATGAGTCAAACAGGGCTTGCCTAAAGCTTTGAAAAAATGCTCTATTTCATTCACATGATAAGCCTAAATGCTGCATCATTTCATGACATGGATTATTGTTCCAAAATATTTTATTGGTTATTCAGTGACTATTCAGACAGTTAGTAAATACTTGTCTCAATCACATTTTATCCTTTACCAATAGAAAGATAACAATATTGTTGAGCCAAGTTTGATGTGTTAGGAACAGGTGAATACAATTAGACTTTAGATTTAGGGTAATCTTAAGACACGATTCATCCTGGTTTTCTTCCTTAATATTTTTTTCAAGTTGACAGTCTAATCTGGTATTTCTCAGCCTTGGTCACTTTAAGATACTTAGACTTCAATTCCCAGAATTCCCCAGCTAGCCATTCTGGGAATTGAAGTCCACACTTCTTAAAGTAGCTGAGGTTGAGAAACACGAATCTAGTCTATAGTAATTTGTATTTTCTAGTCATTTCCTATCCAGATATTAACCAATTTAATTTTTTTCCAAATCCAAGCAGTGTCAGGCAAGGGTTGTCATCTACTGATCACTCTTTTTCCACTAATCTCTGTTTTTAAAAAGTAATATAGTATTTAGGGCTCCATATATAAATTGCGATTTTAATAAAAGGTTGTGTTTGTACTTCTGAATTGAAGTAGAGCAGAAAAGACATAGCTTGTCACCTGCTATTATATTAACAAGCTATTGTTGTTAATATAATCAGGCAACTTCTAGTATCTAAGAGAGATCCAAATTATACATGGATCCATGTATGATCCAAATTATATATTGAAACACCACATTAATAGATGTACAACCTGAATTTCTTTTTCCTGATATATTTTATACAACTTGAGGGAAGGTAATTTTCATTCCGCTAAAAATTGATTTCTTAAAAGGCCAAACAAATAATGTGTTTGTGTGTGTGTGCGTGTATGTGTATATATAATGAAATATATGATGTCACAGTTGTGACTGCTGCCTGTGGATGGCTCTAGTTTGAGCTGATACAAGGCAAAAGATTTCTCTCTCCCATATTTGGGCAACAGGGTGTAACATACAGCATTCTATATATATATATAATTTCATTAAAAATTCGAATCCTGGGTAAAGCCATGTAGTAAAAAACAAACAAATACGAACACCAGGATAAAATCAAACTAAAAATCATTAATAAAATGCTGAGCTTTCGTCAGTCACCACTACCGACATCATCAGAGCATAAAAGTGGGTCAATGGGAGTCCCTTTTTATAATACTGGCTGGTTTTGCAATGTCGTTGCTCCTAGAAGCACGAAGCCGAAAACACCAGCCTGAAGATGACGAATGAGACTTTGTCGAAACGTCACCAAGACACTCCCAATTTGACACGGGAGAAAACCCGAATAACCAAAGACCTACATACACACACACACACACACACACACACACACACACACACATATACATATACATACATACATACATACATACATATATATATATATACTTGAAAATCAACTTTGCTCTTTATGGGTTGCTCATGCAATAGTTTCAATATTTTTATAATTCTATTCTCTGCATTAGAGAAAGTACCTTTATGTACCGCTTCTCCTGATCTGTAGTTTAAACATAAAGCCATATACATTGTACCAGATATGTGAAAATACATTTTTACCTTTTTTTTTTTTTTTTTTTGCAGAATGCATACGCTAATGTAATGCAAACACTGGCCACAGTGGAGGAGGAAAAGTTTGCTAAGTGGTTGTCCAATTCGGATCCCAGCTGCTGGAATAATATACAATGGTAAATACCACCACAGCTAATCTGATTTCCACAATTGCTGCAAACAAATAGACAGTCCTCACTTATCAACAGTAATT